TGGGCAGTCTTTCAATCATGTCCTCCAATCCGGTGTCCGTTTACTGTGAGGTCAGTTTCCTCACCTTCTGTCCATTAAGATAATTTGGGGTGACGTGGTGTTGCTATCCACGTCACTTCCGCATTCGCCATCGCCATTTTGCTTGTGGGCACATACCCTGAAGTAATAACCGGAAGTGACGCGACGGAACAAGTCCGTTCGTCAATTCCCATCCCCAATAGGGGCAGTCTTGCAATCAAATTAATACACACCTTGCCTGTGCTCCCTTGTTGGGGACAATCACACTCGGCACATAGTTATAAAATGAGGGAAAATAAACAAACGAAAAAAACATATCAATACATTTTCATACCTTTACATATAATTTGTCTGTCATTGACAATGTCCACAATAAATATATTTGATATGAATTTTATCCATATTGATTATGTTGGTCCTATTTATCAATTTTAATTAAAGAATACTAAAATCAACTAGAGTGAATTTTATACAATTAAAGATTTTTGTAAAAATCTGGGATAGGGTTGGATTATTCCTTACTTAAATTGTTGACATTCTCAATTACATTCACATTGGTGTACATAAAGTGCATATATTCAATGATCAATATTCATTCCCAATCTTTTTGTTAAGGATAAAAATAACTCCCATAGATGATATGTCCCTATTGTTGAAGAACCTTCAAAGACAATATATATATCTAGAAATATAATAAAATGATATATATATATATATATATATATATATATATATATATATATATAAAACTATCATTGAAAAAAGTCTAAAACAGACTAATTTTATTTTTTTTTAAAAGGGGGATATTATTTAAAAGGACAGATGGAGTAAATTTGCTAAATAAAATGGCACATCTCAAAATCATTGTTGAGACCACCTGGGATTAGTGTAGCTTGGCCATGAGTGCAGAGGGGAGGGTAAGCGCAAGATAAATATTGCGGTCAAAATGTGGTAAATCTGAGTGAGGCTGAGAGGGCCACAGTGAGGGCAACAGACAGAGTAAAGGAAGGAAGAGAGCAGGGTAAAAAGGCACAATAACAGCAAAACACCCAGTCCTAGGAAGGGTAAGAATGTGGTTAGTTAAGTATTTAAGACGTAGGAAGAACTGATGGGAAAAAACAAAGGACAGGCAAACAATATATATGCGGACAGTGCAAAGACAATATATATGGTATAGAAAATATGTTTAAGTCTAGTGAATTGGGCAGACCCAACTGAGTGACAGCAGCAAAGAAAGAGGATGCAGGAGGGCTTGTACAGTTCTCATATTTTTTATTGGTTGTTTGTTTTTGTTTTGTTTTGTTTTGTTTGTTTTGTTTTACAACCTTTTGTTTGTTGCTGGGTGGTTTTAGTAAAGAAAGATAAAGAAAACATGAAGCCTCCAGTTTTGTATTAAAATTGTTTTTATTGTGTCTTTAGATGCTATTATTGCCTGATTAGTGTTGTGGTGCCCTTCCTGAGTAAGTAGTCAAACCGTTTAAGAACAGTTTGATAACTTATATGGGTCCTGCCAGGATAGGGGCTGTATTAGGAGATAGGGCCCGTAGTGTGTGAGGGGTGAGGTGTGAGAGAGACACAATGTGCGTGAGTGGAAAAGTTTGTGTGTGAAGGGTGCAGTTTGTGTGAGGAGTACAGTGTGTGTGTGGGGTGAAGTGTGTGTGTGAGGGGTGCATTGTGTATGTGAGGGGTGCAGTGTGTGTGTAGGTGTACAGTGTGTATGTGTGTGTGTGTGAGAGAGAGGTGCAGTGTGTGTATGGGGTCAGTATGTGTGTGAGGGGTGCAGTATGTGTATGGGGCAGGATGTCTGTGTGTGAGGGGCGCAGTGTGTGGGGGGTAGTGTGTGTATGGGGACAGTGTGTGTGTGAGGAGTGCAGTGTGTGTGAGGGGTAGTGTGTGTGTGAGGGGTGCAGTGCATGTGCGTGAGTGGGACAGTGTGAGGGGGCAGTGTGTGTATGGGGGCGTGTGTGAGGGGTGCAATGTGTGTGTGAGGGGTGCAATGTGTGTGTGTGAGGGATGCACTGTGTGTGTGAGGGGTTCGATGTGTGTGTGTGAGGGGCAGTTTGTGTGAGTGACAGTGTGTGTATGTGAGGGGGCAGTGTGTGTGTGAGGGGGTAGTGTTTGTTAGGGGGCAGTATGTGTGTGTGTGTGGAGGGGCAGTGTATGTGTGGGTGAAGGGGCTGTGTGCATGTGTGTGGAGGGGCAGTGTGTGTGTAGTGTGTGAGGGGGCAGTGTGTGTGTGGGGGCAGTGTGTGTGTGTGTGAGGGGGAAGTGTGTGTGTGAGTGAGGGGCAGTGTGTGTGGAGGGACGGAGTGTTTGTGGATGAGCAGTGTGTATGTGGGGGGCAGTTTTGTGTGTGTGTGGAGGGATTAGTGTGTAGCCTAAATCAAATATATCTGTTTTTTTTTATTATTATTTAAATCAGAAGTGGGCAATCTGCAGCCCTCCAGATGTTTTGGACTACATCTCCCCTCCTTGCTAGCCCTAAGAGCATTATGGGAGATGTAGTCCAAAACATCACCCCTGATTTAAATCATAAACTTTATGTTCCCCCTTCCCACCTTTGCCTGGGAAGGGAATCATGTCTTAATCCCTGGTGGTCCTCGTGGTGAATCCCTGGGGGTTTTAGATGTGAGTGAACTGTAGCCTGCAGATCATGGGGCTAGAGTTTACTCTTACAAGCTCGTGAGAGGAGGACCACAGGTAAAGTCCAGCCCCCTAGCTGCAGGCTCACCTCCCGGGTCCTCTCTCCCCTCCCAGCAATGTGACTGCGGACCGGATCTCTGATCTCCCCTACAATCCATGAAGGTACACAGCAGGGACAGTGCTTGAATAGCACCAGCCAAAGACAAATTAATTGTTTCCCAAACCCTACATGGCCTCAATGTGACTTGTTTTGCTGACTTATTACATGTCTCCAGAACTAGGGGGCTGGACTTTACCTGTGGCTGCTCCTGTCAATCTCAGTCCACCTGAAGCAGATATCTAATTAGCCAGCTATAAGACACTACCTCCCATGAGGCCTTCAAGCTCCTCTCAATCCATCCTTCTTTGTGGCATCTACACGATGTTAAGTGGCAGGGTTCTTACAAATTTTTGCTTGTCTCACTTTTGGTGCAAAAATTAGCCCCAGACTTTTCTATACCTTCGCTGAAACTTTATGCTGGCTACTGCTCAAAGTCTGTAGATGCCCCACAGTTATTTACTATTTAGAGGACTTATTGACTATTGAGAGTAACTTATTTCCACCCAGTAGCCTGAGAGCCACAATCCAGCTTTTCCAATACCTGGGGGTCCCCATTTCCCCTAAAAAAAGACAGAAGGACTCGACACGTTGATACATTTCCTGGGTATCACACTAGATTCTGTTAATATGCAAGCCAGTTTGCCTAGAGATAAGATTGTGCACATCCTATCCAGCATTGATCTATATCTCTCTGTGGGATCTTGTAATCATACAGTCTCAACTTTGCCATGAAAATTATCCCGCGGGGCAGGGCTTTTATATCTAGACTACTCAATCCAGGCCCGGACTGGCCATCGGGCACACCGGGCAAATGCCCGGTGGGCCGCGGTGGCCGTGGGGCCGAGGCCGGCAGGGGAGGTCCCAGGATCTCCCCTTCCGGTCTATGCAGGGCCGGCACTCTCCTAGCGCCGGCCCCGCTGTCTTCCATGGAGTGCCGATGGGGAGATCAAAGATCTCCCTCACCGGCCCATTTAAATAGACCTGCGGCTGGGGAGGGAGGGAGAGGACCCGGCGGAGCTCTGTCTTGCAGCTCCGCCGGGTTTCTCTCGCGAGATCCGGAGCGTTGCCATGGCAACGCCCCGATCTCGCGAGACAGTTCACTCACCACTGGACCACCAGGGATGGTGTGTGAGTGCCGGTGCCCCCCCTCCCAGCTACCACGTGCCTGTCCCCCCCTCCCAGGCTAAAGGTAAGAAGGGAGGGGGGGGGTTTAGTTTTTTTTTTTGCTTAGTTTTTATTTATTTTTTTTATATATTTACCCCCACTTAATTTTTTATTTGTTTATTTACCCCCCAACACACAACATTTATACACAGCACTATCACACTCAGCATTCTCAGCACTCACACAACACTCTCACACACATCACACCCAGCACTCTCACACTCAGCACTCTCACACACATCATAGCACTCTCACACTCAGCACTCTCACACACATCACACGCAGCACTCACACACATCATAGCACTTTCACACACATCATAGCACTTTCACACACAGCACTCTCACACACATCATAGCACTCTCACACACAGCACTTTCACACTCAGCACTCTCACACACATCACACGCAGAACTCTCACACACATCACACACAGCACTATCACACCCAGCACTCACAACACACAACACTCACACACAGCACTCTCACACACAGCGCAGCACTCTCACACATCATAGCACTCTCACACACATCACACGCAGCACTCTCACACACATCATAGCACTCTCACACACATCATAGCACTTTCACACACATCATAGCACTTTCACACACAGCACTTTCACACTCCCAGCACTCTCACACACACATCACCGCAGCACTCTCACACACATCCCACTAGCACACACATCATAGCCAGGGCCGGTGCAAGGAATTTTGTCTACACAGGCGAAGGAGCATTTTGCCTCCCCATATACATTTTTTGTTGTTTTTTTTGAGAAAAATAAGAACAAATTTGTGGTTTTGTAAAGTGTATTTTACTAACATTTATTCAACAAAAACAAAAATAAATAACAATGCATTCAACTGCCTGTAAACTGCAGTAACTATTACTCAAACTGCATGACGTAGTGCAACTAGTATCAAGGTGCTTTAAAACAAACATATATAAATACTATAAAAACTTTTATATAATAAATAAAACTGTACGCTTTAGGTTTCTGCAAGTGCAAATTCACCTAAAGTGTAAAGTGCTTTAACAGATATTGCACACAAACAAAGTGAGAATGGTAGCCTACAAAAACTTAACCCTTCTTGCTTTCGCAGTTACAAAATCATGAAGCAGAGTTTTAAAGTCAATCTCTTTTGCAATCTGATTTTCAATGGAAATCATTGCAAGTCCTACCAATCTCTCTTGAGACATAGAGGACCGAAGATAATTCTTTATTAACTTCAGCTTTGAAAAGCTTCGCTCCCCAGAGGCTACAGATATCGGCAATGTCAACAATATGCGAAGGGCAATAGACACATTGGGAGCAAAGCCATTTTTAAGTGCATATGCTAGAATCTGACTGGGTGTCATTGTAGGCCTCAAGATAGGAGCCAATATTGTAAGTTCCTCACAAAGTTGTGCTCCATCCAGGTCAGCATCTCCTGATTTATCATCAGTCAAAATATTCTGCAAGTCTATACAGTACTCCATAACTGCTTCCCTTGGTACATCTTTAAGTTTTTGTATATTATAAAGAAACTGGAAGTGCTTGCTGTGGTGCTTAATTTGCCCAAATCTCTCATCAAGAGAATTAATACATACATCCAAAATGCTGTAAAAGCACTCAATTTTAAATTTTTTTGCAGGATCACAAATCGGATCATCCGGTGCTTCATAACAAAACATCCTTTTTTTTTTAGTTTGTCGCACAAAAGGAGGAAACACAGGATCTATTTCCATTTCTAATGACAGGTCTTTTGCCTCTTCCAGTAAATCTTCAAACCCTTTATCAGAACGATAATTCTTCAAATAATTGGTTGTGGATTCCAGAATATCTATAACATCTGGGAGATACATACTTCTACTTTGGAGAAGTTTGCTAACAAAGTTTATTCTATTTAAGATGTTGTACCACAACACAATAAGACACAAAAATTTAAAGTTATTCAGTTCTTTTGAAAGAGATTCAGCATCAGACTGTGCCATTGCCGTGTGAGAGTTCTCTCTTGAAATTTCAGAGAGAGCATCAAAAATTTCTCCAACCTGGAACCTAAATGGACGAATAGCATCTATTCTTGAAGACCATCTGGTGTCAGACAAAGGTTTAAGCGTAAGTCTGCCAATGTGCTTCTTCAAGACATTCCACCGAACTGTGGATCCTGACAAAAACACATAGATTTTCTGTACAATAGAAAAGAAGGTTGCAGCATCCCTGCATGACATGGCTGCATCATTCACAACTAGATTTAATGTATGAGCGCTGCAGGGAATATAAAAGGCACGTGAGTTTAAATCCAGGATTCTTTTCTGAACACCTTGGTGTTTGCCCTTCATATTGGATCCATTATCGTATCCTTGTCCTCTCATATCACCAACTGGGATCTTAAGTTTTTCAAGTTCAGACAAAATTGCCTCAGTTAAACCTTCTCCAGTTGAACTTTGGATTTGGATAAAACCTAGAAATTTTTCATCTATACAGATCTCTGGTTCAGCAGTTGGAGACTCGCCTTCCTTGATGGACACAAATCGAACAATTATAGTCATTTGTTCAATTAATGTAATGTCTGGTGTGCAATCAAGTATTATAGAATAATACTTTGCATTTTTCAACAACTGCAGAATGTGTTTTGTGATTTCTTTCGCTATAAGGCTGATGAGTTCGTTTTGAATGTCTTTCCCCAAATAATGTTGGAAAATGTCCTTATTTTTTATTCTCTTCAGATGTTCCTGCATAACGGTGTCGAATGTGGCCAGCATTTCCACAAGTTGCAGATAATTCCCATTATTGTCACTGTATAATGTATCTCTGCTACCTCGGAAAGCCAAGCACTGGCGACCAAGATATTTTACTATGCCTATAAGGCGCTTAACAACATCTTGCCAATGTTGTGTTTCATTTGCCAACAATCTCTGGGAAGCTGCATCTATCGTTTTTCCACAACCAAATCTTCTCGAGAGTTTATTCCAGTCTCTTATAGCGACAAGATGAGAGTTAGACTTTTCATGAATGGAAAGATTTTGAGATAAGTTTTTCCAGTCATTATAACCTCCACGTGTCAAACTTGTAGTGACTTTAGTTGCAAATAGCTTACAACAAAAACAAAATACTTTGTTCAATTTGACAGAATAAACAAGCCAATTTCTAACGGTTTCTTCTCCGTTTGGCAGCCGTCGCTTGTAATTTGCTTTAGTGAAACGTCTATTCGCTGCATCTTTGGGGAAAATGAAGTTAGTTTTTTGCTTTGCAGGCCCTTTCCTGACAAGAGAATCCCTTAGTGAGGTGGTGAGAACAGCTGGCCAATTAGCTGGATCCGACAAATCCAGTATTGCCAAAGAAGTAGATTGTTCCTCCTGCTGCAGTTCCTCTCTTTCTTCTTCTTCGTCATTTGATTCTTCTGGGTCAATAGTCTTCTCAAGGTAGACAGAGTGTGATGATGTGGAAGGTTGCTCATCATCTTGTTGTTCTGGTATTTTTCCAGTATTTGCATCATCTACATTAACA